CTTCCTTCCTTCCTTCCTTCCTTCCTTCCTTCCACCATGATTTTATTGAATTAACCATTTCCCTGAGATTACACAATCCACGCTAGAGCATCAGCTCCAGTGACTGGACTTACACAACACACTGAATGATAAACTAGACCATTTTTGTGTGAATTCAGCCACATATTTCTAGCTTTCCATTAGTATGTTTTATGTCAGTCATTCACAACTTTGCCTCAGGAAAGCTTCTGCTGTAATAAATTTGCATATAAAATGTAATGTATCTACTTCTTTATTAATATACTCCATTGATCTCAAAGGAACCTAGTTTTGAGTACATTCTTAGCCCTGAAATTCTTGATTGTTACCATAACAAACTGTTCTTGTCAGAGGTCTGAACTGAAAACTGTAGCCATTGTTTAATATTAGGTTAAAGCAGCAGTTCTCAACCAGGGGCTATATGCCCCCTGGGGGCCCTAGGATATTTCAAGGGGGCCACAGGTGAAAAACATGTAATGGAGGGCCACAGCATGTGCCAAGGGGGCCACAGAAAAGCAAAGTGTATTATACTGTAAATACTGTCTTGATGCCAGAAAATGCACCAGTTACTGTCCCATGCCCATATCCTGGACCGGGGGGAGGGGTGGAGGGGGGCGGCACAGGAGAAAAACGAGGTTGGAAGGGAGGCACAGGCAAAAGAAGGTTGAGAAACACTGGGCTAAAGAATGCAAATTGTTCTTTGGTCTTCCTTACCATGACAGAATGTTGTGACACCTTGTTTCTATGACTAAACTTTTCTAGGTGAGAGACTTCCACAAAATCCCACACCTACATTATCTTGAAATGTGAAAGACGGCAAAAGCAAATGTGGACTGATAATGAAAATGCAAAATCAGGTGCTTTATTAGAATGGAAATCATGGGTAATCATTCTTTCTGGTATTCGTATTTCTTCTAGCGTCATCTCTGGTTATGAACCTTCATACAGTTGAAGCAATATGAAACTAGGTTACAGGACGCATTTGTGCCATAGCAGGTTAGACATTAAACAACCACGTTTCTAGCCTACATAATTAGGGATCCAAATCTAAACCTTAGAAACTAGAAACAGCAATATAAAGTATATTGTGATTGTAATACTCACAATTTCTTTTTAGTACATGATTTCATATTTTCAATTTGCAAAATATGGGTTTTTTTAAATAGATAATCCTCTCTATTTTGATAACTTTGTTTTTTACCATGCGCAGTTTAAAAAATTAAATGTAGATTACACATAGAATAAACTCGTACATAGTTCACGGTCTGTCTGGTTTTCTTCCTAAAAAGTGAGAATTCCCTGGTTCTGTGGAGCTTTACTGTGGAGAATTGGTCTTTCTTTCCTTCCTTCCTGGAAGCAGAAATATAGTTTAAATTTAGGTCACTGCATATTTATTAGATCTGCTTTCTGCCTGGTACCTAACTCTACCCAATAAACATTCTGTTACTTCCCATAATTTACGTAATGCTGTCATTTACATATCCCCCCAAGTAGTTCAGAGATCCACTGATTTTAATGAGCTGTACCTTGCATTTGCTTACTGTTCCCATTTAAATCAGTGGGCTTAAAATACATAATTTAAGGTGAACCGTGCAGGAAATTTAACTGTTGTCGCAATCAAATTGTTTGTTTTAAAGCAGAGTTTTGCTGAGGAAGAACATCTATCTCAGGTGGATTTCAGGTGCTGTGAACGTTGCTATCTTATCCACATTTACAGATAGGCTGTGTTTGTACAACATTCTAGACTAAGCTAAAACAGGTCTGGATGATTTTGGGGTTCATAGAAAAAAGGGCCTTGAACCCCCTTGAATTTAAAATTCAATAATATCCCCATCTTGTTTGTTCAGTCTTCTGATCATAGTTTCCCTTTCTTGTACAGTTCAATCTTCTTTAACATGTCATGCCCAGAACTACTTACTGAATTTGAGAAGGGGTCTGAACAATGCAAGGTATTGTGGAGTTCTGCATAATTATTTCTGCTTTGGAGCCACAATTACATTAATGCAGCCTAAAATTACACTTTCCTTTTTAGCAGGAATATCACACTTTTGACACATATTAGCTTGTGATTAACTACAGTTCCAAGACCTTCTTCACACCAAGGCAGGATAGCACCATCCTGTACCTGTACATTTTATTATTTTCCCCAAATGAAGAACTTCACATTTATATATGCTAATTTCATTGTTATTTTTCATCCCAGTATTCTGATCTATCAGGATGAGTTATAGCTTACTGGGTTTTTGCTTATCTGACACAGATCTATAGTTCTGAGCTATCTGTCTATACTTTGAGTCTTGGTCCTCCTTTCACTTCTGGTCATCTACATCATTGCCAAGTTTATTCACTTAGATTTCTGAGCAGGAATGAGTATTTGTAACACACAGTGTAATTCCTTCTGTTCCTTGTGAACAACTGTTATCTTTCATTTGCCATATTCCAGTTGTAGAAGTATCCCACCAGTTCTGTTACAGCTTTTAAATTGAATTTGCTTTTCTGTATTAAGAACTCAGATTCATTTTGTTTCTTTACCATATTCTCAATAGTCAATCAACAGTGAAAACCAGGAACTACTGATAGCAATGTCTTTAAGAAGCCTGCTTGTTTCTGCTGCCTTGTTCAACACAAGTGGAGGAAATTTCTGATCTATTAAATGGGGTCTTCCAGAAAGGTAGCTGTGTTGCAATAAACAGAGCAAAGATTTTGGGGCACCTGAAGAATCAATAGATTTACAGCAACAGAAACCTATGCTGTATGAGTTAATGTCCATTTTATTTAGAATGGACTGTGTTAGAAATAACCGAGCCAGAATGATAATATTTCAAATTTCTGCCTAGCTATTTTTATGCCTTACATCAAATAGGGTGGGTGGGTTGGAAGGGCCAATTGTTGTTCTGTTGTTAAAAGTCAGAATAATTGATTTCATTTAGCTTGAGTTGGGGAATATAATTTTGTTCCTCCGCTGTGGAAATAGGTGATTCCATTTCCAAAACATGGAATCTAAACCCAGGCTGAACAGCCATCTTCAGGGATGCGTTCATTAGGATTCCTGTACTGAGTTGGACTCAGGGGCTTAAACAGTTCCTTCCAATTCTGTGGCTATAATTTTAATTGGAGATAAACTCTATACAGTGCCAGCATCCACAATTTGGATGCGATGTGGCATGTGGTGTCTATTGTGTTTAATAGTTTTATTGCTCCATAGTGGCACGGGGTTGGTGGTGTTTGTTTAATTATGATTACTAGATATGAGCTGCAAAAATCAAGATGAGCAATAGAAGTAGTAGAGATATGCAGAAAATGCTAATTCTTTATCATATGGATTTTTACAGCCCAAATTTGATAGCTTCGGTTTGATAGCTTTTGAATTTCAAATTCATGATATTTTTTTAAGGTGGCAATACTGCCTATCAAAATCAAGAATTTTAGCTTTGCTGGTAGAGGATAGAATCGATTGAATTGCCACATCTTCAGTGATGCCACACTAGAAGATAGTGATTTAATTATGTTAAATTAAATTTGCAGATCAACCAGCAGGAGCAGTAAATGAAATGTGTGGGAAACCCAGTTTTGGATTCTGCTCATTTTTTCACTGATATAAAGGATTAATTTGAACATTCAGTGTTTTAAATTGGGCTTCTTCCCTGTAGGAGGGAAGGCCCTGCATATGAAGGTGGCCACAGGGACTTAAATACTGGCTGTAATACGTGCTTGCTTTTATTTGATGCTAATTCCAGGTGCCCAGATAGAATGCAAAGTTACGCCTAAGAGCTTGTATTATTTTAAAAAATGCAAGTTTCATTTACTGTTGCTAGCCTTTCACTAATTTTAAAGACATACTAAAATCACTGAATTTACAGGGATTTACTTTGCACTGTGGTGTAATGAATAAAGTACTGGGCTAAGTCTGAGAAGATTCAGGTTCAAATCCACCTTCAGCCCTGGACACCTGGTGACTTTCAGTCAGTCTTTTAGGCCAATGTAGCTTATTGTGGGGTAAAAAGAAGGAGATCCCTGCGGAACTTGAACTCCTGGAGGAATTCAACAAAGAAATAGTACCTTAGTTTACAAAAGCATATTTTCATGTATCTGTCCATCCATCCATCCATCCATCCAGTGGACAGCCAAGAAAACAGCAATGGATCATCAAACAAATCAACCCAGAGTTCTCACTCGAGGCACGAATGAGCAGGCTCAAATTATCCTACTTTGGACATATTATGTGAAGACCGAGCTCTCTGGAGAAGGCTCTAATGCTGGGAAAGGTGGAAGGAAAGAGAAGAGGAGGACGGCCAGCAGCAAAGTGGATGGACTCAGTTACAGTGGTGATGGAAGTCCTGAAAGAACAGGTTAGGGATAGATTGTTATGGAGAAAATCTACCTATGTGGTTGCTAAGAATTGAAAACGACTTGATGGCATATAGTCAAAATCAATATTTTGATAGGAACTGAGAAATTGACATACAGGGAAAATTAAGGAAGGATAATATCTTATTTTTTCTATTTAAAAAATGCTGCCTTTAAGTCCACTGAAAAGAAACCAGTATTAGTTACTACGCTTTGAAATCCGGGTACGAAATGAGTACTGTATAAAGCTTTAGGACACTGCTATTAAGGGGTTAAATATCTGAGCGTTCATAAGCATGATGGGAACTGTAGGCAATAAGGTTCATGGGAATTGCAGTTCTGCTCTCTTCCAGCATGGCTGCCTCCTGATAGGTAAGAGGGTACTGATCCGCTATGCTCCTCCTTGAATATAAAATAGCTGAGAAAAGTTATTTTTGCAGGGGAAGGGGGGTAGCATTTAGTTTAGTTTAGGGAGATTTCTATCTCTGACTTAAAGCCTGTATTTGTATCTGAGCTTTTGTGCAATACATGTTGCATTTCGGTTACTGGAAATAGAAATGTTTTGATGACCGAAGCAATTCCTTCAGATATCTGTCCAGATTTCTTAGGTCACCTAATCTGGAGTGGTTGGATTAGATCTAAAAGACCCCAGGTCTCAGAAGACAAAGGGACTCTATTACTAGTCTGCCTGTTACAATTGTTACACTAAGCATTTTTATTTAGTTGGTGGGAGGGAAATCTCTCTCTCTCTTTCCCCCCAGCCCTCCTGACCCAGGACTGGACTGGATACCCTTAACGAACGAGGACACAATTTTATTTCACCACGGTCAGGCACAAGAATTCAGCAGAGTCATTATTAGCAGGGATAGAATTCTTGCAACACAACTTCGAATCACGTGTTGAGGAAACACACAAACACACCCCATGGGGTGGCTGGAGCCCCTTGTGAGATGTGTTTCTGTATGTTTTCTGTGTTGTTGGCTGGATTCACCATCTTGATTTTTAAAAACTTTTACTTGTTTTTCTTTATCTCATGATCGTGCTTTGTTTTGTCTGTTTTACTGAAATCTGCCCAGAGTAGTTGTGGAGTCAGGTGGTGTCTAAATCAAATGTATGATGATGTGATGTTTGAAGAAGAGAGACGGAAAAGCTCTTGGTTGCCAGTTATTTCAGCAGGATGTTTTGAATATTACTACTACTGCCAATAATAATTTATTACATTTATATGCTGCCCTACTCCCAGTGACTCTAGCTTGACCCTAATCATATTTTCCTGAAGATCCAGTGAACACAGCAGAGGTCTCCATTCCTTTCCCTCCTTGTAAATGATGTTAATGACATGATATAGGAAGCTAAGTGCTTGGTCTTTTCTCCAGGAAAAAAAAATCCTGCAAATTAAAGTGGGATTCCCTGATTAAAATGTATTATTAAAATGTATCCAGAGCAGTTGTACTATAAACTTAAAGGCTTGTGTTTGGTGTATGTGTGCTGACACACATATAAGACTTACTCTCAATGCGGATGCAAAAGAATGCAAACTGATGCTTTCTGTATTTTTTATCCCTGCCTGAGAAGGGGTCTGTCAAAATTGTATAATCAGTATTTGCTCTAACCACATTTGAATCATAGTTTTTTTTAAAAATGTGATGATATTTAATAAAGGGCTGTATTTATACTGAATTAAGTTGTTTGTTCTCTCCAGCTGTCAATTGTCTCTTCATTGTCCTATGCTGGTAGTCTTTTCCAGACTTGCTACAACTGAAAGAACACGCCGGGGACTGAGTGTAGGATATATGTAACTATAGGGATTGAGATGCTAGATGTGTTTTTCCAATGAGCCTTACCCATTTATTGTACCACACTTGTCTTACTCATTAAATAATAGTAAAGGTAAATACAACAAGCAAAGCTTGAGCTGTTGTTAAAAGCAAAGTAAAAGAGCTGTGTGTATTTATGTTTAAATAACACCTTTAGAAGCTAAAAAGTACTGAAACGAAATTGAAAATTGTTAGGAGAGGAATGATAAATAGTGATATTGCACCATCTGCTGGTACACAGGACAGTCTTTTAAAATGCTTTGAAGAAAAACAAGCAGTTTTTTTTTTTTAATATTGTGCAGCCTAACCGTATATGCATTTGTTTAGTATCAAATTATTATATGTTCAGTGAGTGTTTCTCACAGGCAAGCAACCTACTTTATTATAAAATACCAGTTTTATAACAGAAATGTCATGTAAGGAGTTAACCTAAATTCTTCCCCAAGAAAAATTGGATTCTGCATCCTGAACACTTTGTACAAATTAAATAGATTTGATTCTTTGAATGATTTATCAAGCTTTCATAATTTGTCAGGGAGAAAGCAAGGAACTGCCATTCTTATCACCATCTGCAAAAAAGCTGTTCAAATCTATTATTTTAGTTTCTTTTAAGTAAGTTTTATTTATAAGCATATCTTTTTGTATGTTTTACATACTTTGGTGCTTCAGCCCTGAAGGGCTCCCAAAGCAGGTAAAAGTGTTTGTTGCTGTAGAATACATTCAGGTTCAACTAAATCCTAAAGTGTAAAATTCCTTAATAATAATAGTAACAGTAATGATAATCATTTGTGGTACATATACGTGCACATTAATCCTTATAACAATCCTACAGAGTATACCATTATTTTTATATATATGTAACTTAAGCAGTGGTGAATCTTGTAAAAAATATCTGAATCAACTTTGATTCCTGGTCACTTCATGGGCAAATCCACCCTTTTTTCTTGGCAACAATACAGGAATAGTTTGCCATTACCTTCTGGGATGACTTTTTGATTTCCCAGCCTAGCATACAATTGTAGGATTTCCAGGGGTCTCCCATCCTAATGCTAACCATATAAGACCCTACTTAACCTTTCAAGATCAGCCAAGGTCAGAACTGCATCATTTTTCCAGCTAGATCCTTGGTCTGTTCAACCTTACAGAATTCTTTAGGTGTCTTGGTCATAGTCTATATCTTGGGTTGGGCCCCCACATGCATATTTTGATGACTACAAATTGTAGTTCAGGTGGAAAAAGATGGCCTTTGAGCTATTTTGAACCCAAAATAGTTAGCTGTTTGTAAATCAAAAGAGGTATTACAGTATATGGAAATAACCTGTAGTATGGAGCACTCACTGAGTTTTCAACAACAACAAAAAAATGATTTGGAATATGGGGGGTTTTTTGGTGTGCTTTTTCAAATTTTGTTTTATTTTTCTCAAAGGAATCCCAAATTTGGCACTTTCTTCTGATAAGTTCCTAGTTGTCCTTTTCAGTATGGAACTAGATGACATCAGTCCACAGAGCCAGAAACTAAGCAAAGCAGAGAAGAAGTTGCGGCAAAAGCAGATGAAGGCCAGATACACCTTACTAAGACATGAGGGTATTGAGTGTGTATCATACCCTACTAAGGTGATTAGAAACTGTACTGCATTCTTTGGTTGGATTCACATACTATATTAAGCATAGTTTATGATTATGCATAGAATATGATTAAAGCAGAGTTGGCTGGATTTGTACAGCGTGCTACGGCAAAACTCAACAAACCACATTTTTTCTTAGTATGGTGCATGAACCAAGTCTGGAGCATGGTTTTAAGAGATGATTTATTGACTACTTATGTGCCATTATCTTGGTGTCAACTCTTATCAACTATATAGGTACATCTCCAGAATTATGTTTTCCCAGTCTGAATTTTAAGGTCTTTCAGTATCTATCGCCACTGTAATCAAGTCCATCCACCTAGCCTATTGTGACTTATCCAACAAACTATGGCTTACTGTGATATGTGATCCAGCTGATGGTTCAATTCATGCATATGCTAAGCCATGATTTTTAATTGAACAAGTGATGGTGGTCTTGCTTGCACACAACGCTAAGTCAGACTATATGAAATTGCATATTTCAGTAATCACTGTGCAAAAACCACCGTGATATAGTGGTTGTGATGTTCTGCTAGGACCAGAAAGGCCCAGTTAGATTGGCCTCAGTCATGGAAGCTCATTGGCTGACTAGCTGATATGGGGTGATTCTCCAACCTACGTCCTAGGGTTGTTATTGTGGGAAAAATTGTGGGAGGGAAAGCTATGAATGCTGCCTTAAGCTCTTGAAGAAAGGTGGGATGCAGATCTAAAAGCCAGAAACAAAGAAGCCATATTGTGAGAATGTTATGTGTGAAGAAGACCGGTGACTTAAATGATACCTAAGTAGATGTGCACACATTTCAATGAGTGCATGAATATTAATTGTAGGACAAAGACTATTTCAAATCCAAAGATTTTATATAGATCTTTAGAATTGATCAAACAGAAGTTCTGGGATAATGATCTCTTTATTATTTTTTTAAATTGTTGTGTTTATGGATACTATTTCCAGATGAACAAACCAGTGCTAATTAGTGATACCTGTGTCTCTTTTATTCTCTCCATCATTAGAGTCTGGTTATTGCCAATGGAGGTCTGGGTAACGGTGTTAGTAGATACCAACTGCACTCTGTGGTAGAAGAATGTGGGTTGGTAGAAACCCTCTTGATGCCCCCAAATAAACCCTATTCATTTGTGCAATATGGAAGGACAGCTGACTCCAAGCAGGCCTATGACGTCCTCAATGGAAAGGAACTAATATTAGAGAACTCCAGCCAAAAGGTTGTTCTGTACTTCAACTTTGTAGAAAAAGGTATTATTGAAGAATCCTGCTCTTCTACCCTGTTTTTCTCAACCTACTGTTAGAGAACTCAGTTCATACCTCAAAGCTCAGGGAGGCATTGATCAACTTTTAAAAATTGGCATGATGGAACCAAAATGAACCATTCTAAGTACCATTTTATCAATGAGATTTTCTGCTAAGCAGATCATGCATCTTCTTCACAATCAGGAATGAGATAATAAAGGTTAACATTGGCCACCTTTTTTGACTTTTGTCCTGCAGGTGTGTTGGACTGTGGTACCTATAACCCCCAGTTAGCATGGCCACTGGCAGGAAATGATAGGTCACATGGTCTGACACGTACGACTGCAGACAGAGCATTTCTGAAGAATGTTTGAATGTGAACATTTTATTGTATGCTGCATCATAAATTCTTTTTACCAAGACTGCTGTTTGAATAAAAGTCTAAACTCACCTTGGACTTAGTTATTGTTATAGTTTTAAGGACAAATTCTTTCCTTTCTCCCTGTATTGCTGTATTTGTTATCTGTCAGCCACAGACTATCAACAAATTTTACGTGTAATGGAAAGAGACAATTGATTGCTGTTGACTTCTCATCTGATTCAAATGCCACAAGTGATGATCTTTGATTTGAAAGAATGATCAGAAAAGCAATGACATTCTCTGGTCCTAAACAGACAATATTTTGTGTAGCACAGCACTGGAAACCAGTCTTGTTTACTGGATATCTTTAGTGTCTCTGTCAAAGATTGTTTTGGATATTACTACTTAATTCACACATATTTTTTTCAGAAGATGTTTTTCAAAATCTTTCTGTTCAGCTAAGTCTTTGATAGACAAAATTAAGTGGGAAGATCATTTTCTATAGGTTTTATCTTAATATAGTGTATGGTTGTGCTAAGGTATCATGTTAAAGCACAATTTAGCATTCCCTCCCCCTTTTCAGTGTGGTATGTTTAAGGATGAAATTGGAATGTCCCACGTCTGGTTTAGCTGAACAAGAAAACATGCTGCCCAACTCTTAACTATGCTTATTCTTAGGTATGGTTCATCATAATATGCCAGTGTCATGAATTATGGATTGAAGTTAGGTTGTTTCTACTAAGCAGAGTTAAGAATAATCATAGTCTGTCTGAGTTTGGACAGTTGCAAAAGGTATGATTAACAGAAATGGAAGCTTCTAAACACCTTACAACTGTGGTATAGGAGAAGGTGTCCAGACTTCATTTGTAATACCAACCTCTGCTATCTTACTCTCCCCAACATTTTGCTCTCCAGATGCATTGATACCTTACTGAGAATTTTGGGAGTTTCTGTTCCAATACATCTGGAGGGAACCAAGTGGGGAAAGCTGGCTTAGCACTATATCTGAAGCAGATTTACTTTATCATTTTAGTGGTGGTGTCTTCCAAGAGAGCATTTGAAAAAACAAACAAAAAACAAGCACAGAACCCGTTAGTTTGAAAATGGTGAGTCTGAGCACCTGAGTTAGAGGAATGTAGAGATGTCATTTTCATGAAAGCTTTTCTTATTTCTTATACTCCTAGTTCCTTGGGAGGATATGACCCCTCCAGTCTTGCCCCCTGGTTTGAGAGTAATTGAGGAGTTGGTTTCAGCTGATGAAGAAAAGGAGCTCCTTGAAAGCATTAATTGGACAGAGGATGAGGTCGTTCCCCATGGTATGTTATTCTAACAGTAAGTAAGCCAGGCTGGGTGGATAATATGATTGAGTTACCATAGAGGCTAAACCCTAAAACCAGACTAACAATACATTTAACAAAACATTTATGATGATGCTTGGCCACCATTTTATATTCTGTACTTCATATTTATATTTTGCATTTGTTTTAATGTTTATATGGAGGGGTTGGTTTATTTTATTTTATTTTATTTTATTTTATTTTATTTTATTTTATTTTATTTTTTTGGTTATTGTATACCACCCAGAGTCACATTATTTGAGTTGGGTGGCCTTATAAATCTAGTAAATAAATAAATGTCGCTATGTTACAAAACATCCAGCACCCAAAGAAATAAACCATAATATGGCTTAATGTGATGGCTTGGCTCACACAACATGCTGAGACAACAGCTGGATTCTGACATTCCAAAGTACAAGCTACTCAATCCCATTTTAGCTTGTATTAGTGTATTGTACAAATTTAACTAATTTCAACTGGAAGAGGGGCTTTTTGGAACCTCTCTCTTAAAGTGCCCTGTTGTTTTGCTCAACTCTGCAAGATTACTTTTTGTAGGACTGTTTATTCAGCATGGTAAACAGATATTTTAAATGCCTCTGTATGTCAGAAGTCGGTTCACTTGTGAGAAAAATGTTTGAAAAATGTGTTGCGCCAGGAATGATGAGGTGAATCACAGGCTGGGTTCATATTCAGCACTAAGCTATGACCTTGGGATTGTAGTGGATTGCTCAATGAAGTAGTCAATTCAGGGTATAGTAGCTCTGAAAAAGGGAAATTCTGTGCCAGGGATTATTTGGAAATTAAAATGCCAACCTTGTAATGCCATTTTACAAATTGATGGTTCATCTGAATCTAGAGCAATCTCTACAGTAACAACATTTGAGAATTGATACTACGGTGCTGGAAAACATGCAGAAGAAGGCAAACAAAATAGTCAGTGGATTTGAACATCTTCAGTGCAAGAAAAGCTTAGAATAATTGGGACATTTAAACTTGGAAACCAGGTGACTGAAGGAGGATATGATGGAGCAGTATAAAATCATGCATAGCATAGAGAAAATAGATATGGGGCTTCTCTCCCTCTCTAAACATTAGGACTGTCCAATGAAACTGATTGGAAGTAAATTTAGAACAGACAAAAGGAGGTACTTCATCACATAATACATAATTAACGTATGGATCCATTACCACAAGGCGTGAAGATGGCCAATGATATGAATGATTCTCAAAGGGGATTGGATCTATTTTTGGAGGACGGGTCTGTTGGGGGCTGGAAGTCTTGTAGACTCAGTGGTACATTTGGTTAGGGGTAGCCTATCTCCTAAATACCAGGTACAGGGGAAGAGTAGCAGAAGAGGTGTACACCTCTGTCTCTTGCTTGCGAGGTCTCCAGAGGCACGTGCTTGGCTGCTGTAGGAAATAAAATGCTGCACTAAAATAAGCCTCTTCTGCTACTCTTCCCCTGTACCTTTTTGGTAGCAAAGCTGAACACTGAGATCACCTCCTCTTGCCAGTATGGTTGCTACTTGGCCAGTGGTAGGTTTAGCTTTTTTTAGGGTCAAAAAGCCCCCTGCCACCTCCGGCTGTTGTGGAAGTTGCTGTTTTAGCTGCTTTGGAGCTAAGAGCCAGGTAGCAGTGCCAAGCAATATCCACCTTGGCTCAGGCTGTGCTAATTGGGGCTGATTAGAAGCACTGGGAAAAGTGGTCAGGATTATATTGAAGATGAGGGGAGGGTGGACAGAGCCAAGTATGCTGCTTTGAAATAAAGGAAGGGCAGGAGTGTAACAAAGAAATAAAATATTATTACTACCACCACTAGTAGGAGTTTTGATAATAAATACGCATGTATAAGAAAGAGTTCACTGAAAAGGCTGTTTGAATTGAGGTGGGCTATAAATATTGCGAAATAAATACACTCATTGTGATTGGCAGATGTGAAATTCGTTTGTGCATCTTCCATCTGCTAGTAAAGCAATTTGCAAACATCGCTGACGTACTTCATGACTTGAACAAAGCTATTTTACCCAGGGCAACAGAAGCGTGAGTGAATCTTTCACGTATGTCCATGTGCCCAAATTTATCCTTTCAAATGCTTGTAAGATGCTATTTATGCATCTTTATGACAGACAGATCATTATGCTGTTTAAAAAGCTAAGTCTCCCTTGAATTGAGCTGAACTCCTTTTAATTACATTAGCACATGCATATAGCTTTCTTGGCAACAATATGAAAAGGGCTTGCCATTGGCTTTGGGGATGTTTTTTCAATTTATGATTACAGATTACAGTCCTGGGATTTCCTTGCTGTCTCCCATCCAAGTACTCTCAGGTCAGCTTTTTCAGATCACCTGAAGTCTGCTAGGTATTGCAACCTGCTGTAGTAAGCAGACAAGTCCCAAAGTTCTTTCAAGGATTGCTAATGACCAAGAAGGCAGGTTGTCTCTTTATATCCGAAACCATAATGCAGGTCAGGATAGGGTAAGGAGAAACATGGTCTATGTTTTCATCTCAGGTTGCTTTTGGGGACAAAAGAAGACTTTTTGCTGGAGAAATCCCAATGATCCCAGTTCACCTACCCAATAGAGAGGGAAGCTGCGAGCAACATCTGAAGGACCATGAGTTACCCTTAAGGGTGAGAGCAAGGGGAACATTCACCTCCAAGGACAGTGCAGTCAGAATGCAATTCCACCTGTGGACTTATTACTATAATAGTAATGTTTGGTTGTAGCGCTTTCAAGTGTTCAGAGCATCAGTTCCGTTTCATTGCAGATGGTGGAAGCAGGAAAGCATGGCCTTCCTGAGACTACATTATGAGCTTATGGCAGTAGCAGGATTTGAACTGAGCACTGATTTGCAACTACAGGGTTACACAGACTCAAAACCAATATTATATTCACAATTCTATTTTTAATTCCTTGTTTCTTTCTGTTTCACAGCTCAGAAGTCTTTAAAACATAGGAAGGTAAAACATTTTGGATATGAATTTCGGTATGATAACAACAATGTGGATCGAGACCAACCATTACCTGGGGGTGGGTATCTAATCAGAATGTTCCTTATCTGTCTTCCAATTTTTGTGAAATGGCCTTCATACCAATTAGTAGTAATTCCATTGTACTGATACAAATGTGGCTGCATTCCTTTACAGTCCCATTGAAACCAGTGAAACTTCCTTTAATCTATATGATAAATGGGGTTGAGTCCCCAGTTCCCATTTAGGTTAACGAGGACATGCCTAAGCCTGATTACAGAGAGGTCAATCTCAGTGGGACCTACTCTCAGGAAAGTGGGTATTAGAGGACAGCCTAAGTAGGATGTTTCCTGAGCCCAATACGGAAGAGAAACAGAATTATCACATAGTGCATAATTTCAAGGGATCAGACAAATTCATGGAGGATATGGGGGACAACAGTGAGAGGGTGTTGAACAGTTCTGCCTTGTTTGTGGCTTTCTTGGACAATCTGTCTGGCCACTATGGAAACAAAATCCTGATGTAGAGTGGTGTTTGGCCTAATCCAATTTGACTGCTTTTATTAAAATAATCCACACCTCGTCAAACTACAATTCCCAAGATATTTTGAAGGAAGTCATGGCAGTTTAAATGTTATAGAAAGCTGTAAATAGTGTCTGAATCCTGAATCCATTCTGTTGTTCAACTCAAAGACTATATACTTTATTGTATATAGTCTCTGTTATGAAAAATTTCTGAGGGGACAAAAAGATATGAAGATTTCTCTTTGGTTTGAAATGGCAGGTCTCCCAGATTTCTGTAACACAATTCTTGCAAAATGTCTGAAGATGGGATACATCAACGAGAAACCTGATCAACTGACTATAAATCAGTATGAACCTGGACAAGGTATGTACCTGTGTTCTACAGCATCCTCACCTGATTCTGTGGGCTCAGATTTTCAAGCACTGTAAATCCAGTTTGAGGGGGAAAAAACTGTTTGGGTGTGGAGATGTGATAAGACTTAGGAGAATTGGCTGCCTCTTAGGTATAAAGGGTAAATTCCTATGACTATAACATAAAAAGAAATGTCCTGTGTTAATAAGATTATAGGAATGCTACCTTCTGTCAGTTCAGATCAGCCAGCCTGGGCAGTGGCATAGAATTGGGGGAATTACAGTCCAGTGCTTTTGGACTAGCCATAGATGTCAAACTTGGTATCTTTTACGTACCAGCACATTCTTTACTGCTGAGCTCCTGATCCCATGGATGGATGGATGGATGGATGGATGGAAGGAAGGAAGGAAGGAAGGAAGGAAGGAAGGAAGGAAGGAAGGAAGGAAGGAAGATTGTATGTTGTGCATTACTGGACACTAAATATATAAGCATATAATCACAATAAGGCTCTGTTTCTGGTGAAAAATTCATACCTGCTTTATAAGATTCATTCCCCATCCTTTCATACATCTTTGTTCCCCAAATAAATGTTGTTGGAGGACTGTAGAGAATAGCAGTATATTCTTATAAATTATACTAGTATACCAAAGTAAGACTAATGGTGTATAAAGGTTGATAGATTTCACTTAATCTTTACGTGTCTGTTTTTATTTGTTGTTATAGGAATCCCTCCTCATATTGATACCCATTCTGCCTTCGAAGATGAGATAATATCTCTAAGTTTAGGAGCTGAGGTAACAAACATTTTTTTTCAGTCTTTTAGAGAGCTGATGAATTGCATTTCCTCAAGAAGTTGAATGCATGTTATTTGTACCGTTGCTTGCTTTTTGCAGAGCTTGTACTTCCAGTGGGTAGACATTTTTGTTGAAAAGTCAGGATAACTAAAGATTTTCTTATAGGCTGGATTTTTCTGGAGTGAATGTGACAAGTAGAGAAATAGCCTACCTCATATTGTGGGTACAGTGTCTTATAATAACTCAGGAATGGTCTTCCCCAACCTGTTATCATCTGTGAGTTGTAGCCCCAGCACATATGGAAGGAGCAGGTTTGGGAAAGCTGCTGTGGAGATAAACGCTGGTTCCACATCTCTTATTTAGCCATGGCTCCTTGAGCTATTCAGTGAGACTGCAGTGTAAATTTTACTAAGGTCAATGGGGCTTTAAAGTAGGAATTGGATACCAACATGTGTATATGGGAGTAAGGCCTTCTGAAGTCAGTGACTTCCTTCTTGCAGGCTTATAATGGTGTGCATTATTAATATATGATATGATATGATATGATATGATATGTGCATGCATGCATATTGAGGCACCACCAAGTTCTGGAGAAGACTGAAAGCCATTCACTTGTTTTTTCAGCTAATTTCAACAATCAAGTAGCAATTTCTGATCTTGGTTTCTTTCAGTAAATCCTCAGTCTTCCATAACAGACTTCCCAATGTGAATGCAATGAGAAACCACACATTTATTTACAGCAAGAAATGAATGTGCCCAATCCTTTCCTGTACCGGATGGGAAAAGAAGGGAACATTTTCAAGTTTAGTGTTATTTCAAATATGATTATTTTTGCACTTTTCCTGAACCTTCTTGCAAGCACATGGTTGCCTTAGATGGCTTGGAATGAGAGAGCAGACCCAGATTGCAGTTCCTGGAGTTGCTTTCAGGACATCAAAGTGCAATCCCTGGGTTAAGAACAGCTGGTTTAAGGATGACCCATAGTTAAGTATGGAGCCTATTGTAGCAAAATTTGAGATTTATTTATTTATTTAATTTGTCCCCTGCCCATCTCCCCCCAATGGGGGACTCTGGGCAGCTCACAACACG